GTATGAACGTTGGTTCATAAAGATCTTCTTTTCTTTTTGATTTTTTTCACTGTTAGAAACACCTACAAACGAATTTTTCTACATACCTCAAATCTACACCACCCTTTTTTCTCGGAGCATGCAAAATCTGGGAGAACTACAAATAACTACAAACCATTTTAGACAGAAATCCGAGCTCATTTTGGCTATAGTTGTTAAAAAGTTCCTACTTGGACTCCTAAAATCGATCAGATGCTCATTTGAGTTCGGATTGGGAAAATTCCAAAACTACAATCAAGTATGAACGTTGGTTTATAAGGTTCTTCATTTTTTTCACTGTTAGAAACAACTACAAACAAATCCTTCTACATATATCAACTGTCTGCCACCCCGTTTTCTCGGTGCATTGGAAATTTGTGAGCACTCCAAACAACTACAAATGATTTTAGACAGGAATCCGAGCTCATTCTGGCTATAGCTTTCAATCAGTTCCTACTTGGTCTCCAAACATCGATTGGACGCTCATTTGATTTCCGATTGCGAAAATTCCAAAACTACAATCAACTACAAACGATTGCAGACGAGAATCCAATGTCACTCTAGCTCTAACTATGGAATAGTTCCTAACTGTATTTCAAAAACGAATTGGACGCTCAATTTCAAAGTACAAACAAGAAAAACGTTACTACTATCACGCGTAGCTCAAAATCTATCAATTATGAAATTTTGGTTCAAATCCAAGCAAGTGGGGTGCCCACTTCACGGAGCTTCAAAAATAATATGGTTCAAATATTTGACAGTCAGACTTTTTTAAGGGTCAGAAATTTTTACGGTCAAAATCCGAAATCTTAAAGTCAGAAGCATTAAGGGTCACAACATATTGAGTCCGCAATCCCCACTATCCACTCTCCACAAATTGTAGAGAGTGGAGAGTAGCTCCCACCTAGCATCCGATCTCAACTCTCTACTCTCTAGAAAAAGTAGATAGTAGAGTGTTGGCCTCATTTTAAGGGTCAAAAATAATATGGTTCAAATATTTGACAGTCAGACTTTTTTAAGGGTCAGAAATTTGTAGGGTCAAAATCCGAAATCTTAGGGTCAGAAGCATTAAGGGTCACAACATATTGAGTCCGCAATCCCAACTATCCACTCTTCACANCGTTTGAGTTTGGATTGGAAAAATTCCAAAACTACAATTGAGTATGAACGTTGGTTCATAAAGATCTTCTTTTCTTTTTGATTTTTTTCACTGTTAGAAACACCTACAAACGAATTTTTCTACATACCTCAAATCTACACCACCCTTTTTTCTCGGAGCATGCAAAATCTGGGAGAACTACAAATAACTACAAACCATTTTAGACAGAAATCCGAGCTCATTTTGGCTATAGTTGTTAAAAAGTTCCTACTTGGACTCCTAAAATCGATCAGATGCTCATTTGAGTTCGGATTGGGAAAATTCTANAGGTCAGTAATTTTTAGGGTCAAAATCCAAAATCTTAGGGTCAAAAGCATTCAGGGTCGCAACATATTGAGTCCGCAGTCCCAACTATTCACTCTCCACAAATTGTAGAGAGTGGAGAGTAGCCCCCACCAAGCATCCGATCCCAACTCTCTACTCTCTAGAAAAAGTAGATAGTAGAGAGTTGGCCTCATTTTAAGGGTCGAAAATAATATGGTTCAAATATTTGACAGTCAGACTTTTTTAAGGGTCAGAAATTTTTAGGGGCAAAATCCAAAATCTTAGAGTCAGAATCATTAAGGGTCACAACATATTGAGTCCGCAATCCCAACTATCCACTCTCCACAAATTGTAGAGAGTGGAGAGTAGCCCCCACCAAGCATCCGATCCCAACTCTCTACTCTCTACAAAAGTAGATAGTAGAGAGTTGGCCTCATTTTAAGGGTCAAAAATAATATGGTTCAAATATTTGACAGTTAGTCTTTTTTAAGGGTCAGAAATTTTTAGGGTCAAAATCCAAAATCCTAGGGTCAGAAGCATTAAGGGTCACAACATATTGAGTCCGCAATCCCAACTATCCACTCTCCACAAATTGTAGAGAGTGGAGAGTAGCCCCCACCAAGCATCCGATCCCAACTCTCTACTCTCTACAAAAGTGGATAGTAGAGTTGGCCTCATTTTAAGGGTCAAAAATAATATGGTTTAAATATTTGACAGTCAGACTTTTTTAAAGGTCAGTAATTTTTAGAGTCAAAATCCGAAATCTTAGGGTCAGAAGCATTAAGGGTCACAACATATTGAGTCCGCAATCCCCACTATCCGCTCTCCACAAATTGTAGAGAGTGGCGAGTAGCCCCCACCAAGCATCCGATCCCAACTCTCTACTCTCTAGAAAAAGTAGGGTCAAAAGTAATATGGTTCAAATATTTGACAGTCAGACTTTTTTAAAGGTCAGTAATTTTTAGAGTCAAAATCCGAAATCTTAGGGTCAGAAGCATTAAGGGTCACAACATATTGAGTCCGCAATCCCCACTATCCGCTCTCCACAAATTGTAGAGAGTGGCGAGTAGCCCCCACCAAGCATCCGATCCCAACTCTCTACTCTCTAGAAAAAGTAGGGTCAAAAGTAATATGGTTCAAATATTTGAAAGTCAGACTTTTTCAAGGGTCAGAAATTTTTAGGGTCAAAATCTAAGGGTTAGAATCAATAAGGGTCTGAAAATATAACGGTCACAATATATGAATCATAGTCTGTAGGGTTTGGAAGCTTTTAGGGCCATAACATTCAGCGTTCACAAAAAATTTCGGGTCTGGGCGTTTAAAGAGGCATGAGGTCTAAGGTTCTAAAGATTAGATGGTCCGATTACTCAAGGGTCTAAATCCACGAAGCCCAGAACAGTCCTCCCCTAAGCTATCTACTCTCTAAAAGTACTCATGAGTAGAGAATTGGCCCTGTCAGTCCAACTCTCCACGAACTCTCAACTTTCTCTGCACTCCAGGAACAAATAGAGAGTCGAGCTATCCACTGGTTCCCCTAGGGTATACTTTTCTTTTTGATATTTTCCATAATATCGAAATAGAAAGGGCGATTAAACGTGAGATTTTCTATTTCCATTCCATTTTTAGCGAAATTCGTTGCAAGTTCATGCAAAAACAGGCCACCGGCCAGGTCCTTCAGCTAAGGATATTTCCTATTTCTGCTTATTTTGGTTTTTCCTTTTTCATATTTTTGGAAGAGGTGCTTTACGGTAAATATTGTGTTGACAATTAGATGTTTCGAAATTATGCTCTCTTTGTTATTGCAATAACAGCGAATATCTCCAGAAATTTCATGCGATTTCTTCAGTCAGTCTCTGAATAATGTCCACTTGCGCAGATGTTGGGGTGTTTTGCTCTTACCGAGGTTGGCCATGGAAGTAACACGAAGATGATGCGTACGACAGCAACCTACGATCCAGCCACACGTGAATTTGTCATTCACACACCTGATTTCCAGGCTGCCAAGTGTTGGGTGGGAAATTTAGGTAATAATGAATTCCGCCCAATGTTTTGTGGGTTCACACGCAAATATATTTCTCCAATCATGTCTTGCATTGATACAACGCTCTGATCATCTTCACAAGGACTGAATAATTGGTTAATTTCTTAACTCATCGACAAGATTGTTTCCTTCATGTTGAACCATAATTTCTTTTCGTCATAAAAGGACTTAGTAAACCCAATGGAATCGCTTCATTTCCTGATACATGTGATGTTTTTTAATCCGCACCTTTTAATTATACGATACACATATTGGATTTCACAATTTTTTGCATATGTATTGTGACCTTTCAATATTTATTTATTATTATTTCCTAAAAGGGGGATTTAGGGCAATTAAATAATGAGGACAAATGAGGGATAAAATTAACTGAATATCTATATTTCTATTAATTTACATAATAGATCATTGTAAGACGCTTGAAATGCCTTTTACTTGGATCTAGGGTTATGGGTAAGGCCAGGCAACTTTTGTACACGTAAAAAAAAGGGAGTGACTCTAATGCAGAAAAAGGGGAGAAGCTAGTCGTGTCAAGGGAATGCAACTAAATATCAGAAGAATAACTAAATGGGGAAGAAACAAGAGAGTGTAGGCTCACTGTTGGGGGGTATGAAGGGTAATATTGTGGGGTCAAGAGGGAAAATGAGGGGGGTAACTCGTACTCACGATGGGACTTAACTCTGGCGAACATGTGGAATTCCACCGGCGCCTTGCACTCCTTCAAAATACCAGGGCGTTTTCCTGGAGAGCCTCCTTTCCACCTCGGGGTTTCCTGGGCACCAATACTAGAGCTGGGATGAGCTCGATGTATCAAAAGTCCTCTTTTTATGCGCCAATACTTCCGGGCGAATTTTACTGTATTCACTATTACTACTTTCGGGGCACGTGGCGATTCACGGGGCAGCTAATGCACGAGTGACGGTCTCTTCTTTTCCTTCGCGATTCGTGGAGGTTCGTCAGGTGTCGATGTCCTTCGGGTTTTAATTCGGGAGCAATCGGGGCCAATCAGCATGGTTGAGTGGTGACGATGACCACAATCCAGGGATGTCTCACAAGGGATTATTGCTGGTGTTGAATATTCGGGGGTCTAGTATGGGGAATTTCCAGAAGGCGTTGACTTTTCCAATTGATCGGGTGGGGCCGGAACTGATGTCTTCCTTCGGCTGATGTCTTCGTGATGTCCAGGGGCAGGGATAGAGGGGCGATGAGGGGAAAAGTCTGGGGAAGGGGTATCCAACGGTGGCGGGATTTACCTTTTAGGCGGCAGTGGGAAAAAATATGTAGAAAAATAATAAAAAATAAATAATGTGCCTCGTCACAGTATAATGCAAATATGTCCAAAAAAACAAAATCCATAAAACTCGGATTCAATTGATGGATTTTCTTTTTCTTGAATTTCATGTGCTCAAATTATACTTGTCGGATTGCGCGCAACAAATTGAACATTCACACGTTTTAATTTGTTATGTCCAAATTATTCTCAGCCTAAAATCCCCCTTTCAAAATCCTCCCCCAATTCCAAAATATCCAAAACCCAAAATAAACAACGGCGTACGAGATTTAAATTACAGAAAAATATGAATAACAATTAAACAAAGGGCCAAACAATTAAGTGCAAAGGACCAAAATTGTTCCCCTCGACGAAAAAAAAACTTTGAGCCCTCACACACCCCGTTTGGACCACCACAAAAACCTACCCCCACTACCCTATACGAAATAAACAAATTCCTCCAAACTAAATTATAAAAACAAAATCCTCGCACCATACAAATACGTCAAAAGTTCCGCCCCACCACGATGAAACTTTTGACCCATCAACCCAAAAAGAAATTCTAAACACTGAAAAAGTTATTAACAAATAACTTTAGCAGGGGTCCAACCTTTTCCTAACAATCATTTTTGCTAAAACCCAAAATAATAGTTTTATACAAAACTTTCCATAACAAAAAACGACCGGGCAACAAAACCAAACAATTTAAGCCCTCACTCAATCCAATCGGATAACAATTACAATTGTCAACAACAAATTCCTCTAAAAATTTTCAACCAACCTGAATAAATAGACAAAAACAAATTCCAACCAAAACGACATTTCCAAAAATGCTGCACAACCAGCGCAAGAAAACAAACCAACACTTTCGACATTCCATCCATAAACAAAAGAGCTAGCTAAATAAACAACCACTAACAATCGACGTGACACTCAAACAACGCATTTCCTAGAAAAATGTCCTCAACAAAAGTTGTTCGAATCATCGAGACTCTTCTGGCAAGCCAAAACAGCCCTCAAGAATAACAACCCCTAAACCACCCCCAATCTGAAAATGAACATAAAATACATTTCAATGACTCTTTTCGGCACAACCGATGTCGAAATTGCCAACAGGCAATTTCAACATCGCCCTAAATTTCTCAGGCTATTTCAAAGTCCAATATTCCAAAAACCCCAGGAGTAGAATCAGCGAAAATTCGACAACGTGAACAGGTGTTCCACGTCGAATTTTCGTCATAAACCTCCAAATCACCAACTTTCACCCCATAAAGCCAACGCCTAAACTCAAGACTTGAAAACTACAATTGACAAAATTAAAAACCAGTCGTGGAAAACCCGGAGAACGAATACGTTCTCCAATCTTCGGTAACTCGGATATTTCGGTTACAAATCGGATAAATTCACTTTTTCGGCATGGTTCCCAACAGAAATCAGTGAACTAGATTTCGAGGGTGGTCTCCTGAGTGCTGACGATCGCTAGCGGAAATTGATCGATTTTGTAATTCGGAAATTTGAGTTATCAAAACCCCTCATCAAAATTAGTGTGGATTTCGCATCCTCAAGTATCAAAAAAAGAAGAGATACGCATTTTCGGCATTAAAATTACGCGTACGAACCGATAAGGCTTTCGCGACTCCAAACGCCTTACGGTACAAGTGTGTGTATCTATAAATAATTCGGACTATTAATTTAAAAAGACTGAAAACATTGTGAACTAAAAATATTGTAAAGAGAGGAATTGTAATAAGCGTCTGGGACGACGCTTCCATCTGTTTGGGATTACAGTTGCAACAAGCAGAAAACCTGTAAGTAAATCCTAAGTATATATTGTTACAAAATTTCAACCTTGTGATTCGCGGAAAATCAGTCAAATCAAACCAACATTGAATTTCCCCTGTCACTGTGAACTTGGATTAATTGAGAAAAACCGATAATTAAAGGTGTTATTCTTTCCAAAAATTTGCTTTAATTATTTCAAAGACCCATTCAAAATAGAAAATCTGTAATCTCCAGTCCCATATGTGAAGAAGAAAGCAAGGTAAGAGTGCAGAATGAATAGATTGCTCATAAACACTTGGGAAAACGCGGTAAGAAATATTTTATCGCACTTTATTTTTATTGTTAACCAAGGAACTCCCAATATCAGAATTATCAGAGTCAAACGAATAAATTCAGAAACTCAGGATTTTGCCGCCTGAAAAATCCTTCGGACATAACAAATTATACAGTTTTGGAATTAAGATTGCTGAATGTGTAGTTGGGTTGATACTATTTAATTGCATTTTAATTTTGTTTCAATTTTTTCGGGTTGTAATAGTTGGTAATTTCGCAGAATTTAATATATGCATCGTGTAATGAGAATGGAACTACTACAATTTCTGTATATACGATCTCAGTGCAAACCATCAAATGTGTCGAAGAATGAACGGACTTCATCATGTGTAATAGGTCATTTTGCTTGGAAAATGCTGCTTCAGTATTGCAGTACGCCCAGGTTGATAATAATTTTAATCGACCAATCCAAGTTGATTATTCAACGTTTGATCATTTCTATAATACACGATGCACAAGGAGAAAATTATTAATTTCATTTTGTCGAAGCTATTGCGATGAATTGTTCTGACTCGCCAGAAAAATTTCATATATTCTCCTGTAAACATAAAAAAACTTGGAATTGTTTGTTAAACATAGGTTAACATTCTTCATTTCAGAGAAGGTGTGATGCGAGATTTTTGATCAATTAATTTTTTTGTTTCAGGTAAAACTTGTGTAGTGGCTATTGTTTTTGCTCAGTTGATAACACACGGAGAGGGTCATGGATTGAATGCATTTATTGTACCTGTTAGGGATCCCAAAACATATCTGCCTTATCCTGGGATCATAGTGGGAGATATGGGAGATAAAACTGGGATCAATGGAATTGACAATGGGTAACGAATTTTTCACTAAATCATTAAGCTTTTTCGAAGGATATTGTGATAGCACATACGAAATGCAAGGAAAATTGTAAGAAAAGAAATATGCACACTTGGAGCATGCCATACACGTACGACGAAATTTCATAAAAAAACCTAGCACTTTCGCTGTAACATTCTCCTGGGTTTCTATTAAACTTCCTATTAGTTTTTCACTGACTATTGAAAAATTCCACAACTTGTATGTGCGTTTTTTTCTTATTCAAATACTCAATGAAAACAATTTTATGGAAAAAAACAATAGAATTTCATTTTTCCATACAACTTATTCTATTAAGATACTATCTATTGGGATCTGGTAGATGGGGGCATGATATGTGGTGGTGAGAAAAATAGTATATTTAAGAACCGACGGCGGTGGCTGTGTGGTTAGAGTGTGGGATTGGCATGCGGGAGACCCGGGTTCGATTCTCGGCGGGGGGGGGGGGGGGG